TATTTTTATTATGTCTTATTTATTTGATCTTTTCCTATAAAGTAAAGGGTACAAAAGATCACAGATGACGTGAAATAATTATATTTTTATTATGTCTTATTTATTTGATCTTTTCCTATAAAGTAAAGGGTATCGATGGGATTGATCAGTGGCAAGCTGTTAGCACAGGAGGACCCTCAAAGAGGTCAGAGTTCATCTACAATCTAGACGACTACGTCATACCACTACAAGGGCAAGCAGGCATAAGGTGAGTGGGTGAGTGAGTGAGTTTGGTTTAACGCCACTTTGACCGGTGTTTCTGTTCTGTCATTGGGAATTGAACCCATGCAATATTCCAGTAATATCACGGCGGGGGACACCAAAAATGGGCTTCACACATTGTACCCATGTTGGGAATCGAACCCATGCCTTCGGCGTGATGAGCGAACGCTTTAACCACTAGGCTACCCGACCACCCCTAATATTGTTAAGTAGCTGTAGGAGTGAACGCGAACCCCAATTCATCTCACCTCATCTGTTACCTTTTAAACACCATATTCCATTTAGGGATGCTGTTAGGCCTCATCATCGGTTAACGCTGCCAATAACATTTGTACAGATTACAATTAACATGTAATGATTGGATGTATGAAACACAACAGCTGTGAAACTGGCCTCTAGTGGTTGTTAGGTTATGAGAATTAACGCAATTATCACACCTTTCGCTTTCATATCAACGGCGATGCCATCTTTTATCATGAGCGCGCACAGAGGGAAACAAGCAGCCTCAATATCCGTGTCTTTGCAGGATGGGGGACTATAAGCTGTTGCTGGGATACCCCGGAACTCAGGATGGATGGCATCGTCCCATGAACAACACCAAGGATGACATATACGAGAAGCACCTGTACGACCCTCAGGGAAAGGAGACACACTTGTTCAACCTCAAAGGTACACAGATCGGAGTCCAAATGTTGAACCAATTTGTAAAGTACGATACAAAGCACAAATCACCAATGGAGTGAAAAACTGAAATATGAATAACACACCAACGTAACCTATGTCGCTTGACATCCCTGAAGTAAACCGAAAGAACAATACAATGTTTAATATTTTGTTCATATTTAAACCTAGAAATAGTGAAACACCTCTTAGTACATATTTCCACTTAAACAGACATTTAAAAATCGTATCCTCTGTTTATTTGTTTGTTTATTTGTTGTTTATCGCTGCACTCAGCAATATTCCAGCTATATGAAGACGGTCTGTAAATAATCAAGTCTGGATCAGAAAATCCAGTGATTGATTTCATGAGCATCGATCCACGCAATTGGGATACGATGACATGCATCAACCAGGTCAGCGAGCCTGACCACCCGATCCTGTTAGTCGCCTCTTACGACACGCTTAGTCGCCTTTCACAGCAAGCATGGGTTGCTGTCATCATATTCTACCCCGTATCTCCAAGGGTCCGTATCCCCTATGAATGTTCTGACGAAACACGTGGGATTGGCGGTGTGTGTAACAGCTCTGTAAGTGTATGTGTAAACTACAATCTGTCTGTGCTGCTCCGACAGCGAAAGGTGTTTCAATGCCGTCCGCGTTAACCAAACAACGTTTGGCGCTTGGCATAAAGGCATGAGGTGAGGTGAAATTGGGTTTAAAGCCGTGTACAAGATTATTGCACTTATATAGCGACGTGCATGCACGCATGTGTGTGTACTAGTCCGGACTGAAGCCGATTTATAGTGCTAGCTCACTGCGATACCATGCCGCAGTTTAACATGAACACCACACTCAGACACAGTATACTGACTCCGAGCCGACCAGTCCTTGTTTTAGCCGAGCGCCAGACAGGGTAACAACAAGTACCATCTTTTAACGTCTTTTGGTATGACGGTCAGGGATCGAACCCCGGACCTTTAGCTCTCTGGGCGGACGCTCTACCACCCAAGCACGGGGGCGGTCCCTGAAGGGATAACACAAGGACTGGTATCTCAGTGGAGTAGCGCTATCATACTGGCACAGATCCAGACTAGTACAAGCGTTTCTATGGCCTAAAAATACAATGTCAAGAATAAACCATGTTGATTGGTTGAGCTTAGAATGTCAGTGTCTGTGATCACAATGAATCTCGTATGATTTGGTATGTGATCTGTCATTATATTGAAGCTTACCAGTCATTATAAGACATAACTGATAAATGATTTGTCAAAGAACATAAGAAGCTATTAGTGATCATTATTTTTCATTTATGCAAATTGTGTGAGTGGCGGGTTCTTCTGGGAGAGCAGGACATGCTCATCCTTCCACGAATGCCTGGTGTCATCATTGATTTTCAGTGATCCTTTAATATAATTTTCAGTACAATTGTCTTTTATGCCCAAAGGAATCTGTTTGTTAATTGACATTGACGATTTACATAAAAATTTCAGCGTTTCTCTGTTAATGTATTTAAACCAGTTGACCTATAGAGCCGTTTCGTTTTCACTTTCTCAGATGATCCCCTGGAAAAACATGATCTTGCAGAAGCCATGCCAGAAATGGTTGCTAAGCTACGAGAGCGCCTTCTTGAATATAAGAGACATATGGTTCCAGCCAACTACCCTGACCACCCTGACCCAAAAGGGGACCCCAAGAGATACAACAACACATGGACGCCAGGGTGGTGCTGACGTCATCGGGGGTGGTGCTGACGTCATCGGGAGTGCTGTGAACGTCATCGTCATTGTACTGATCAATCGTGGGAACTAACGCGATGTGCGTGCACTGTACAGTCAATGTTTCACTACACTAGTAACTACTAGAAAAGAAGGTCGCCATGCAACAAAAATACATTACATCTGTCTATACATTTGTACAGAGTTCACAAATGTATTTGGCTTGACCGTTTTCATTTTTATAATGCTTTGCGCTTGTCATTTTTTGTTACTTCTTGTGTTTAAATGATGAGCTAATATCGATGAAGCCAAGATGCAAATTGTGTTTTTTTATGCTGTGAATAAATATTTCTATTACGTGTTTGTACATTTGCAAAATAATTTAGGCCAAACATATGCTGATCATAAGAATAATCAACTTCAACTCGAAATCAGAAAAGATGTGTTTTTTTGTGCTCAAGTCGACCTCCAAACACATGGAATGAGATTCGAACCGGTACAGCGTTGTGTTTGATTATCTCATGTTGTCACAGTGTTTCAGTATTGTAACGGCCTCTGATCCTTTCTCTGAAGGAAACCACGAGACGGCCTCAATACATTGTGTCATTTAACGTTGTGTTTGATTGATCGGGTGGTCAATTTGGCTGACTGGATTGATGCTTGTCATCGAATCCCAATTGCGTAGATCGATGCTGATGATGTCAATCACTGGATTTTCTGGTTAATAATTTACAGACCGTCGTCATATAGCTGGAATAGTGCGGCGTTAAACAAGAACCAAACAAACACATGCATGCACTAAAACCTTGCATTGTAGCGAACTATTTGTATCGTATACAATTCAATGACTTACACAACACAAAGGATGGATCGTCGTGGTGACGATTTCTAATTTTAGTCAAATAATGATATGTGACCATGTGCAACGGACGGAGGTCAAATCCGCTCTAGTTGAGTGAATCTTTCTGGAACCTACACTCATTGGCTGACATTGTAGGTACAGCTAGCGCCGATGGTCGAAATATAAGAACCTGGATAGTTCCGTCTACTGGTTATCCTACACTGGTATTAATGCCTAAAAATACATCTTACTGTAAAGATAATAGCAATTTCAAAACATTATTTTGAATTTGAAATATTTTTTTCTTCTACTCTGTTCAATATGTGTTGGCTATCTTTGTGTTTTGATCGATATGATTAATTGTTTGTTGTTTAACGCTTTCACACTTTTAGAACAATCCCAGCTACATATGACAGCGGTCTATAAACAATCGAGTCTGGACCCGACAATCCAGTGACTGACAACATGAGCATCGTTCCTCGTATTTGGGATACGATGGCATACAGATAACCACCCTGTCCATGTAGTCACCTCTAACGACAAGCATATGGTGCTGGGGACCTATATTCTTACCCGGAATCCCTACGGGAGCGATGGAGGTGTTCATGGCCCATCGGATACCACAACGGTCAACAGTCCTTTTTCTGATGGAAGACGGTATTCAACTCCGTGAGGTATTGACGATAATGTTGAATGGGATTCAAACCCACACTCCTAGGTTTTTGCCGAATGGAACATGTCTAAAATGAGGACTTCTAGTTTTACTTGTTTAACTCTTCTTTCAAAGAAACTATAGATTAAATTATCCTTGGAGGTAATGAATGCAATTGATCGAGGCAAGTGTTCAATGATCCTATGACCTTTTACAATCACAATACTGTGAAGTCTAGTCCTCAAAAGTTCATTCGCTGTTTGTCGGGACGGGAGACAATGGCAGGGAATTAATCGCTCTTGGCCAGACGTAAGTTGTAGGGTTAAGAAGCAACTCTCATTAACTGCGTACTAAAGGTACCACGTTGAGAAGAAAACTAGGGGCACTCTAGACGTCTAGACTCCTTCAGATGATATCATACTACCCCTCCAGCCAAACAAGCCTACCTTTGACACTTAAATAATTGCACAGCATGTTATTTCTATGATGGTGTTGATAATCGCCCATGGGCAGGTAATGTTTTATCTGTCATTGACAAAGTAGTGAATAAATGCCACAGAACATTCTCCATATTTATCAGAAAACTGTGGTTAAAGCAGAATCAACTGTACGACCGTAATAATAATACTAATATGAATAATAATATGAACAACATGAAGAATATGTTGAGGGCGTCATGGAAAATGATGAATACAAAATTCTTTGGAAAAGGCCCGTGTACAGCCTCATGTGTATCAAGGCCAACAAACCTAATTTTGTGCTTTATGATAAATCCAATGCAATCATTAACATTATTGAATTTTCTGTCCTTTTGACACTAATGTGATTGACATATTCAGGAAATGCATGGCAAACATGCGGATGTCACCTTCGAAATGTCACGCTTTCATCCCAAGTACTAAGTTGTCTGATTCCCCATCGTACCGTGGGTTGTCTGCTTCAAGAGCGAGCGCTTTAACATCTACTACACCGCCGCAATCTTCCAGTTCCATTTGTATGGCGGTGACCTGTAAACAGAGTATGGGCCACCATGATCAGCAGCCTGCGACATCGGATACGATGGCATATAGTCAACCAAATCCTAGAGTCTAACCATGATTCTTTGGGTATATACCATTCAAACGAAGTTAAAGAACGACCGATTCTTTCATATTACTACAGCTAATCTGTCATGGAAACAAAGAACACCAACGTTTCTTTCATATCACTACAGCTAATCTGTCATGAACAGTGATATGAAAGAATCTGGTACTCTTTAGCCTCTTGAGTTGTAAGTTCTGACAGAGTAACTATAGTGATATGAAAGAATCTGGTACTCTTTAGCCTCTGGAGTTGTAAGTTCTGACGGAGTAACTATAGTGATATGAAAGAATCTGGTACTCTTTAGCCTCTTGACTTGTAAGAACTGACAGAGTAACTATAGTGATATGAAAGAATCGGGTACTCTTTAGCCTCTGGAGTTGTAAGTACTGACAGAGTAACTATAGTGATATGAAAGAACCGGGTACTCTTTAGCCTCTGGAGTTGTAAGTACTGACAGAGTAACTATAGTGATATGAAAGAATCAGGTACACTTTAGCCTCTGGAGTAAGTACATTTTGCTGTGCTGAAACTTGCGTTCTCAAATTTGAAGCGGCCGTTAAATATCTATTCCGCCTCGCGATACCTGTTGCGCGTAAGTTTTCCATCACATTGACAATATTCAGCCATATAACAATCGAAACAAGTTTCATATTATTACATACTGTCAACAAATGGCAGTATAATTTGTTATTATAACATACTAGTTCAAGAATGAAACATATTTTATGAACAATATATATTATCTATCAGAAAGATTGGTTACAGACCCCGGGGAACCAAACCTAAGGCAGCTAACTGGGTATCATGGGGACCAAACATTGGCTTCCCACATGATGTTCTGGACAGTTTTCAGTCACTACCTCATGATCAGCTACCAGTGGGATTGTGAAAGTTAGCCAATACACACTCACATATGATGTAGAGTGAGTGAGTGAGTGAGTGAGTGAGTGAGTGAGTGAGGTTTAACGCTGCTTTGAACAGTACTCTAGTTATATATATCGCAGCGTGTCCCAAGCTTAATTTTGGCGGAAATCCCAAAGTGACGTTTACCACTTTGGTGAAACCCATGAGCACTGGAATATTGATAAAAACGGCGTAAAACAAGCTCACTCACTCATAGAACTTGACCATGCAGCTTTGGATGCTTCCGATTTATTTGGCACTGACATTCCCTGGCAACTACTCAGTTTTCTGACTCTAGATATACACTGAGATGAAGTGTGAAGGCTCATTCGTCTAACGTTCTGATCGTCTATGGGATATTCCACATTACAGATTGAAATAAAAATACAGCAAAAAGGGTTTGGGTGATCCTGGCACAGTCGGGCTTGTTAGGCTCATCATCAGCTCAGGGTCCTTGCCCCCTCCCTCTACACGCAGCCCAGACAACGAATGGGACTTCTCCCAGGAAGCGCTGTCAAGTCAAACCCAACAAGAACTTTTCGGAGAATGTGAAGTCTCCCCAACACTGAAGCCTTCTGTATTACCCAGATTGTCAGAAGGGCTGTATTCCTGGTAGCAAACCCGGGTACTCTCCCGTTGTCAGTCAACAAATTGGGATGTACCAAACCTAAGGCACCGAGAATAATTTCGAAAGTGAGGTCTGCATATTTGCCATGTTTTGCCTGAATCTTCTCAATCACATTAGTCAAAACACACAAGCATTGCGAAGACGGTAATACAACGATCGAGCCACACCATCATGTCGCTGAAGTTACTGTGTTTGTGCCAAAGCTGGACATCCACTCACAATGTGTTCGACAGCCTCATCACATTTATTGCATAATCTACATTTCATAATTTACATTTTGATGCAAAAGTGACTGGTTCTGAGCAGCAAAGCCTTCTGTTTCACTTTTCAGGCTAGCCGACTTTATCCAGTCAAATCACCTGTCTTTGGGAGTAGTATTGTTCGACCTTTGCACAACCAAGGCAAAACATCCCCTGTATCCACAAGAGAATTTAAAGTAATGGTGTTTGGATTCAAGGAAACAGTTTCCAATACAGTTATGATGATGGTGATGATGATGGTGATGATGATGATCATTATTATTATTATCATGATGATGATGATCATCATCATTATTATTGATGTTCCTGCTGCTTCCTCAAATGCTTAATGTCAACGTTTGTTGTATATATTGTAATGGGTGAACTTATAATCTCATTTGTATAGTGGGCGAATTATAACTCTCTCCGTCGTCTTCAAAATTTTTAATACTAAGAGAATAGCGGCTCTAGGAATCTGTCGGGTAAAAGAAAGTATACACCCATGTTTGATGCTGGCTCTAGGAATCTGTCGGGTAAAAGAAGATATACACCCATGTTTGATGCTGGCTGAAAATAAAGCAAACAAAAAATGGTTATTCGATGGTGTTGTATTTAATACGGGTACCTTAGTTGTGTTTGAACCTAAAGTTTGCAGTGTTTCGGTGATTGTTTTCAGCCTATCAACATTTTAATAACGTTCGTAATTTTGTAGGTCAAATCCAATTGTCAAATGTATACACCCTGCGTTTGCCCTGCCGTTTATATAGGAGTACAAAGGGCATCCACAAACCAGCCTTTCAAGTAACTTCGTGGGGTTCCTTGCATCTTGACACCAGCTGTGAAGCAGGAAGCTGGATACCATGACCAACACGATAGGTACACAAACAATGTTCGTTGATATCACGCTCGTTGACTTCTCATTTATTGTTGCTGCACATGCCAAGCCGAACAACGCGGGTGTTCATTTCTGACATGTCAGAGAGGTTTGTTTCACCCTGTTTCTGGGATACCCTGGTCAATTTGATGAATGTGTTCTTCTATGAAAAATTCGAATGACATTTACAAACCACATGTCGGATGTCAAGGTCATTTTCAAGTATTACTCGAAATCAAGAACATGGAATGTTTTAAAAAATATATTCAGAAAAAATCAGGTTCACAGTCTCCATTCTGTCTGGCTGTGTCATGTCAGATACATGCATGCCCTATGCTAGACAATGGTCTTGGCATGTTAGACAATGGTCTTGGCATGTTAGACAATGGTCTTGGCATGTGAGACAATGGTCTTGCAAAGTAAGATAATGGTCTTGGCATGTTAGACAATAGTCTTGGAATGTTAGATAATGGTCTTGGCATATTAGACAATGGTCTTGGCATGTTAGACAATAGTCTTGGCATATTAGACAATGGTCTTGGCATGTTAGACAATGGTCTTGGCATATTAGACAATGGTCTTGGCATGTTAGACAATGGTCTTGGCATATTAGACAATGGTCTTGGCATATTAGACAATGGTCTTGGCATGTGAGACAATGGTCTTGGCATGTTAGACAATGGTCTTGGCATTTAGACAATGGTCTTGGCATGTTAGACAATGGTCTTGGCATGTTAGACAATGGTCTTGGCATGTTAGACAATGGTCTTGCAATGTTAGATAATAGTCTTGCAATGTTCGACAATGGTCTTGGCATGTTAGATAATGGTCTTGCAATGTTAGACAATAGTCTTGGCATGTTAGGCAATGGTCTTGGCATATTAGACAATGGTCTTGGCATGTTAGACAATGGTCTTGGCATATTAGACAATGGTCTTGGCATGTTAGACAATGGTCTTGGCATGTTAGACAATGGTCTTGGCATATTATATAATGGTCTTGGCATGTTAGACAATGGTCTTGCAGTGTTAGATAATTGTCTTGCAATGCTGGGCACAACACTTGCAATGTTAGACATTAGTCTTGCAATTTGAGACTATGACTTTGAGATTTTAGACAAAAATCTTAACGTGCATCATTGTCATGCCTTGATAATTCTTTTAAAAATGATTTATGCAAATAAAATGCTACGTTCGTCTAATATGGAGTCTTATGGGTACCATGTGTAACAGTTAGATGTTTTGACCAAACTGTTTATAAATATGTACATAATATACTTAAAAATTATAATATCTTTGCAGCTTTGGCGTCATCGTTGTTTAGAGGATTACAAATAACTAGACATCATATGTAGGAATATGCATTCCCTGAAAGTTACCATTGCCCTTGGTGTAATCACTGGGGTGGAGGAGTGCTGGGATTTTGTGTGGAGATTTCTTCAGCTACATCTGGCTGTCACGTATTGAATCAACCACAAACACAAATGAAGTTGTAATAAAGATTTATTCCCTCCCTTAAGTTAATTTTAAAACCCAATAACAATATTTAAATACAAACTAATACCAAATTAACAAACACAACTAACTAAACTAGCTTCTCCTACAACTAACAATACTACCATCTACTACTTATACTAATATCTTAATACTAACAGTACAAATGTCTACTACTAATAATACAACTATCTACTACTAACAATACAACTATCACGATACACTATCCTAATACTAATAGTCTACTTTTAACAATACTAACACTAATACAAATGTTCTAAGAATAACACAACTAATACACAGTAATAACTTTGTGGGTGTACATATATACAACAATACAACAACACAAAAACACACCCCCCCAAAAAAAAAATAAAAAAAAATAGAAAGATACAAAGCCACTCCACTGTCACTGTCACACAGTGACTTTGGAATCTCTGATGTTACTGAGCAGTTCACACTAGAATTCTTCCTCGTAATATCGAATGGTGATCTTTCCACCTAGGCGATGTTGTCACCACGGAGTTAAGGGTGCCACGGCTGTGTTCATCCTTTGATGTGCACACGGAAACGGAGATACTTCTCTCCTTACGTGATGTTGGAGGTTGATACTTCCTCCTATGTACTATCGGGGGTACTTCTTCCCTCCTACGTACTATAAGGTTAACCGGCCAGTTCCGGGACACTACAATATAATATAAGCAATTACAGTTACTGAGGTATGTGTCACTACCTCACAATACATACAACAATGCACCAATACTCTGATTTACATATTACTGAGTTG